TTCACATTAGCTGTGTCCTGCATTGTTGTGTTAGCAATGCTAATGTTAGCTCTCTTCAGTTAGCTCGTAGCTTCACATCAGCTGTGTCCTGCATTGTTGTGTTAGCTGCTAATGTTAGCTCTCTTCAGTTAGCTCGTAGCTTCACATTAGCTGTGTCCTGCATTGTTGTGTTAGCATGATACTGTTAGCTCTCTTCAGTTAGCTCGTAGCTTCACATTAGCTGTGTCCTGCATTGTTGTGTTAGCATGCTAATGTTAGCTCTCTTCAGTTAGCTCGTAGCTTCACATAGCTGTGTCCTGCATTGTTGTGTTAGCGTGATAATGTTAGCTCTCTTCAGTTAGCTCGTAGCTTCACATTAGCTGTGTCCTGCATTGTTGTGTTAGCGTGATAATGTTAGCTCTCTTCAGTTAGCTCGTAGCTTCACATCAGCTGTGTCCTGCATTGTTGTGTTAGCGTGATAATGTTAGCTCTCTTCAGTTAGCTCGTAGCTTCACATTGTTGTGTTAGCGTGATAATGTTAGCTCTCTTCAGTTAGCTCGTAGCTTCACATCAGCTGTGTCCTGCATTGTTGTGTTAGCGTGATACTGTTAGCTCTCTTCAGTTAGCTCGTAGCTTCACATTGTTGTGTTAGCGTGATAATGTTAGCTCTCTTCAGTTAGCTCGTAGCTTCACATTGTTGTGTTAGCGTGCTAATGTTAGCGCTCTTCGGTTAGCTCGTAGCTTCACATTGTTGTGTTAGCGTGATAATGTTAGCTCTCTTCAGTTAGCTCGTAGCTTCACATCAGCTGTGTCCTGCATTGTTGTGTTAGCATGATAATGTTAGCTCTCTTCAGTTAGCTCGTAGCTTCACATCAGCTGTGTCCTGCATTGTTGTGTTAGCATGATAATGTTAGCTCTCTTCAGTTAGCTCGTAGCTTCACATTAGCTGTGTCCTGCATTGTTGTGTTAGCATGATAATGTTAGCTCTCTTCAGTTAGCTCGTAGCTTCACATCAGCTGTGTCCTGCATTGTTGTGTTAGCGTGATAATGTTAGCTCTCTTCAGTTAGCTCGTAGCTTCACATCAGCTGTGTCCTGCATTGTTGTGTTAGCGTGCTAATGTTAGCTCTCTTCAGTTAGCTCGTAGCTTCACATTAGCTGTGTCCTGCATTGTTGTGTTAGCATGATACTGTTAGCTCTCTTCAGTTAGCTCGTAGCTTCACATTAGCTGTGTCCTGCATTGTTGTGTTAGCCTGATAATGTTAGCTCTCTTCAGTTAGCTCGTAGCTTCACATCAGCTGTGTCCTGCATTGTTGTGTTAGCGTGATAATGTTAGCTCTCTTCAGTTAGCTCGTAGCTTCACATCAGCTGTGTCCTGCATTGTTGTGTTAGCGTGATAATGTTAGCTCTCTTCAGTTAGCTCGTAGCTTCACATCAGCTGTGTCCTGCATTGTTGTGTTAGCGTGATACTGTTAGCTCTCTTCAGTTAGCTCGTAGCTTCACATTGTTGTGTTAGCGTGCTAATGTTAGCGCTCTTCGGTTAGCTCGTAGCTTCACATTAGCTGTGTCCTGCATTGTTGTGTTAGCATGATAATGTTAGCTCTCTTCAGTTAGCTCGTAGCTTCACATTAGCTGTGTCCTGCATTGTTGTGTTAGCATGCTAATGTTAGCTCTCTTCAGTTAGCTCGTAGCTTCACATCAGCTGTGTCCTGCATTGTTGTGTTAGCGTGCTAATGTTAGCTCTCTTCAGTTAGCTCGTAGCTTCACATCAGCTGTGTCCTGCATTGTTGTGTTAGCGTGATAATGTTAGCTCTCTTCAGTTAGCTCGTAGCTTCACATCAGCTGTGTCCTGCATTGTTGTGTTAGCGTGCTAATGTTAGCTCTCTTCAGTTAGCTCGTAGCTTCACATCAGCTGTGTCCTGCATTGTTGTGTTAGCGTGCTAATGTTAGCTCTCTTCAGTTAGCTCGTAGCTTCACATCAGCTGTGTCCTGCATTGTTGTGTTAGCATGCTAATGTTAGCTCTCTTCAGTTAGCTCGTAGCTTCACATTAGCTGTGTCCTGCATTGTTGTGTTAGCATGCTAATGTTAGCTCTCTTCAGTTAGCTCGTAGCTTCACATCAGCTGTGTCCTGCATTGTTGTGTTAGCATGCTAATGTTAGCTCTCTTCAGTTAGCTCGTAGCTTCACATCAGCTGTGTCCTGCATTGTTGTGTTAGCATGCTAATGTTAGCTCTCTTCAGTTAGCTCGTAGCTTCACATCAGCTGTGTCCTGCATTGTTGTGTTAGCATGCTAATGTTAGCTCTCTTCAGTTAGCTCGTAGCTTCACATCAGCTGTGTCCTGCATTGTTGCGTTAGCATGCTAATGTTAGCTCTCTTCAGTTAGCTCGTAGCTTCACATCAGCTGTGTCCTGCATTGTTGTGTTAGCATGCTAATGTTAGCTCTCTTCAGTTAGCTCGTAGCTTCACATCAGCTGTGTCCTGCATTGTTGCGTTAGCATGCTAATGTTAGCTCTCTTCAGTTAGCTCGTAGCTTCACATTGTTGTGTTAGCGTGATAATGTTAGCTCTCTTCAGTTAGCTCGTAGCTTCACATTAGCTGTGTCCTGCATTGTTGCGTTAGCATGCTAATGTTAGCTCTCTTCAATTAGCTCGTAGCTTCACATTAGCTGTGTCCTGCATTGTTGTGTTAGCATGATACTGTTAGCTCTCTTCAGTTAGCTCGTAGCTTCACATTAGCTGTGTCCTGCATTGTTGTGTTAGCGTGATAATGTTAGCTCTCTTCAGTTAGCTCGTAGCTTCACATTAGCTGTGTCCTGCATTGTTGCGTTAGCATGCTAATGTTAGCTCTCTTCAATTAGCTCGTAGCTTCACATTAGCTGTGTCCTGCATTGTTGTGTTAGCATGATACTGTTAGCTCTCTTCAGTTAGCTCGTAGCTTCACATTAGCTGTGTCCTGCATTGTTGCGTTAGCATGCTAATGTTAGCTCTCTTCAATTAGCTCGTAGCTTCACATTAGCTGTGTCCTGCATTGTTGTGTTAGCATGATACTGTTAGCTCTCTTCAGTTAGCTCGTAGCTTCACATTAGCTGTGTCCTGCATTGTTGTGTTAGCATGATACTGTTAGCTAAGGCAGACTCATGGAGGAGTTAACCCTTCAAAGCTCTATGAATCATTTGATTTTGATTTTTCCTTCTGCGTCCTCAGTGAGGTCAAACAAGACACATGCAGTGCACAAATAATCCAGCAGGGGGCAGAGAGCAGCTCCCTGTGGTTGATGATTCATGAGTATCAGAGGAGGTTTCTTACAGCAGGCAGCAGGCACAGCTTCTTCTCTGACGGCGGCAGCTGTTGGCTCTTTAACTTCTCCAGGACTTCCTGCAGAGCTTCCATCTGACGACACAAAGTTCAATTCACAACGTTTCCATCAAACAGAGTAAACAAGTTCTGCAGCAGGATATAAACCAGCTGATAGTGTTCAGAGGAACGTCAACATCCTGCAGCTAACAGCTAACTAGCTATCAAACCTGCTCAACATTAGCATGTTAGCATGTTAGCATAGTTCAATAGGAGTGAAGATCAGATCAGTGTCTCACTTTCCTGACCTCTCGTTTAAAGACGTACCGGGGCGTCTGACAGAGAGATCTAGTTTGTAAAGACGGGATAGTTTGGACGTACCGCAGTAATGTGCGGCGTGTTCCTGGAGCGCTCGTTACAGAGCTGCAGCTCCTGGACGACGACTCGCCCTGAGGACTTCATAAAGCCACGCCCTCTTCTTCTCTGTCGCTCGTCTCCTCCTCAGCAGGAGAAAGGTCAGAGCTCTCTACTGAAGAGTGGAGTTTGATTACATGATTCTGGCATTTAAAGGGTTAAATTCCTAAAAATGATTGAATGTTTGGTAGTTTTGAGCAGGGCTGAAGTTGTTTAAGAGATTTATGCAAAAAAAAGTAGAAAAAAATATCAATCTTCTATTTTTATATCAGTTTTTTGTAAGTGGAGATTGTTGTCCTGAGTGACTTCAGAGGGTAGTAAACATGTTTCAGTGATCTATTGATCTGTTAAAAACATTAAAATGTTCATTCCAAAATGTGTCAATAGAGAAACTTTCTTACAAACATGTGTTCCATACGTACTAACAGACAAAATGATGACCAGATGAAGAGGAGACATTTGACCACATGGACAGAAATGTCCATCATGATGCCTGAGGGTTAAGAGTGGTTTATACCCGTCACTCCTGCATCAGCGGCCAATCCAGAATGTCTGGGTCAGATATGTGTCGACTTATTTATTTCTGTCATTCTTAAACCATCTGAAGAAATGAAGCGATCCTCTCAGGTAGTTTTTACTGTTCAAGAGTCTGCTAGGCTGTGTTTTAAGAGACCTGCAGCGCCCCCCTGAGGCCCGGGGTTCAAACTGCTGGTGTCCATCTGCTATGCTTCTGCAAGTGTGAAACGAACTATGATGAAGGTACTATTAAAGATGTTTGTGTGTCTGGAGAGGAAGTCTGTGTTTGTAGTTTCTAATGAGGGAGCTGCATGCTAGCTGCATGCTAAGCTAATTCAGTCCCTGATGTGAAACTTTAAAAAAGTAGTTCAGTACTTCGTCTGAAAGGGAACTAACACGTTCCTGTATTATCAAACACAAAACATCACACTCACCAGCTCCTTCTCCTCCTGAGTCTCGATGGCGCCCCCCTCCACCGATCTCTCACCGCTCCCTAAAATCACCAGCAGCCAGCAGGAGGCACCGAGGAGCAGCATCCTGCCGCTGACCATGGTGCTGACCGACTCGGACCAGGAGAGACGAGTCACAGCGTGGTGAAGTGTCCCGTGGGCTCTGAGGCCCTGGGCTCCGTCTGACAGGTTTATATGAGGCGGCCGTGACGTCAGTGGAAATATTGTTGACCCTCTGATAATGAGCCAATCAGCAGGCTGACCTCGAGGTCAGAGAGGAGACGCTCCCTCCATCAGAGAGGACATGACCACAGGAAGGAGAGTCAGTGTGCGCTTACAGACGGTGTTCAGACAGCCATTTGTCTCAGAGGTCTGAACGATGAGATGTCCATGGAAACATTTTGATTCTTCTTCGTCTGTTTGAGTTTATTCAGGGCGCGGTGACGACCTCAAAGTTTAAAGGTCATGTTGACTGAAGAACTCGACATAAGAGCTATATGTTAACACATCATCGTGTACTGACTGATAATACGATGTTACAGAATGGATACAGCTGGGGAGCTGTGAGGACAATTTTGAAAGACACGTTGCGTATGGTGCAGTTCACAATAAAGCCAACAGGTGGCAGTAGAAGCTAAACTACATGAAGCCCTGTCTCCACAGAGCGCTTCTTTCTGAGCGCCAGCGTCTTTTTTCAATTGTTTAAAAATGAGTCAGTGAGTAACGGTAAAAGCTGTATAGATAAAAGGATTCTGGGGTCTGAACATTAAACTCTCTTGTTTGCAATGCATGCTGGTCTTTGTATTTCTCTCTCTCCTTTTTCAGGGGACTGGCCCTTTAAGACAGCCAGGAAGTGATGCGACGTGTCGGGGTCTCGGTGTGTCAGCGTTTACGTCAAAGTACATAAACGGGTTTTAATATGTTGGTCAGAGTGAGACCTCCGAGTGACGAGGTCGACCACGACAGACGGACGCCACAGCAGCCTTTCAGAACCCGTCTTCATTTATTAAAAGAAAGATTTTGAAGCCAAACAACAAACTGAAAACTAAATAACTCAAAAGTCTTTTCATTTCATCCTCGAACAGCCGGAAACTTTAACAACTCTTCACCCGTCTGAACACAAACTCAAAACTGTTTCTGAACCATCAACGGACAGAAACAACAAACGATCTCTGAAATCAAAACGTGACCGCTGCATCTCCTCCCAGAATGCTCTCTGCCTCTGAAGCGAGAAGCAAATTCATTAAGAATCATCTCTCTCTGCGTCTGTGGCTCTTCACGGGTTCACTTCTTAACTTTCAGTCTTTGGGGCTCGACTTGCATGCCTGCCGAGTCTGAAACACAACAACAGAAAAACACACATCGTCACAAACGCTTCAACGCCAAGCGGCACGCCTCAGTACAGGACGCAGCTGATGGCGTTTTCTGTCAGACCACAGGATGGTACCAAAATAAATGATCCGTATCGTCACTTCCTGTGTTAATGTCAAACACGCAGCACGCCGTGTTTAAATATCCTGTGGATTTGAAGATTCATTTGAAGATGTTTTGTGACTAATGTCAGCTCGTAGCTCCGCCCCCATGAACGACCTCGGAGGTGCTGACCTCTGCTGGACGTTTCATTTATTGGCGGGCTACACTGACGTCCTGTGACATCATGGCAGCGGGACAACAGTGTAGCCCGCCAATAAATTACACAACGTTGAAAAAGGAGACAGTAAACAAAGATCATCTATTCATAGTTTTCACGTGACGTCACACTCTTATGGACCCGCCCACCTGGAGGGCGAGAAAGTCTCTCTACCACTGAACGCTGCTGAGAAGTTACTGATTCCCCCCTACGTGTTTTTATCTGTTTTATTTTTTAATTTAAATTTACATGCAGTGTGAAGATACCAGCATAATAAAGATTGCTAGCATTAGCATGCTAACACAAGAAGTTGTTGTTTTGGTTTCATGCTGGTGCTCAAGGGCGACATCTGCTGGATCAAAACATCACATATAAAGACTTTAATATGATACACTGACCGGCGAGGAGACAAGCCCGAGTTTTGCTTCTACAGAATTTAATCAGAGAAAAAAAACAGAAAGGAGGACGTTTGTGGATTAAAGTTAGACCCTCCGCGGCCCCTGTGACATTAAATATAGTGTTGACTAAATCTAAATATTCCTGCCGTTAACTCAAATTACTGCCCCAGAACACTAAGATTGACAGTTGATACTATCACTAGCTAACGCTAACTAGCTAATGTTAGCTAATTAGCACTCACCGATGCTTGAATGATGAGGAATTTCTTGCCCTTCACTTCTCAAGCAGCAGCATTATCGACCCAGACCGATCAATAGTACATAAAGCTGCCTGTATGTTTGTAGACGTTCATCCTACAGCGATGTAAGGAGAGGGATTCTCCTCTATCAGCAAGATCACTGAAGTGACGTTCTGGTGTTACGGTGAAAAGAGTGACCATGTTAACTGATGACTTTCAGACTGAAAGTGTCCAAACAAATGTGTCTTTGTTCTGTTTGTGTATTATCATAATGTCAACATAACTTATGAGATATGTTTTAATGAAAGTTAAACAAATACGCTTTCATACCGTACGACAACCAGACTCACTCGGCTGACAGTCACCAGTTAACACGGTAACTCTTTTAATCGTAACACCAGCACAGACTTTGCCGTTTCTAGCGTTATAAATAGTGTTCTGTGTTGTTGAAGTATCACAAGTGGCCCAAACTCAAAGTTTATCTGTGATGCAGTTCTACAAGCTTTTCAACGGTGGCCGTTACTTTCCTGAGCGGTTTTTTGCCCTCCAGCCCTCCACGCTGATGACATCACTGAAAGCGATGAATGGAGGACGTCCAGCAGAGGTCAGCCCCTCTGAGGTCGTCGATGGGGCGGAGCTATGAGCTGACATACAGCGCTTACTCGACTCTCGCTGACTGAGCAAGGTCAGCGTTTACCGTACCGGACTGAACTAAACCGGACTGCTTTGTGGAAACGTGGCTTGTAGAGAGTTCTCTGGTTCAGGTGTTGGCGTTACTGTTTTGGCATCATCTCGATGGGGAGAACTATTCAATAAAACGCCACGAGGTGGAACGGCGCCGTGTGTCTGCCTCTCATCAGAGGAATATTGAGCTGTTTGTGTTCACACATGACGCTCAGCACAGTGATTCAGATGAAGAATGCACTTCCTGTTACTGACCAGGTAGCTGCCGGTGTGGAAGCCACACATGTACCACAGCATCAACATGCTGGAGGCGGAGTCAGCACCTGAAGACTCTTTACCTGCAAACGTTCAGGGAGCAGGAGGGACGAAGGAGTCCTGCAGAGAGACACACACACCGTTTCAAAGAGAGAGAAACATCAGCTGGATGAGTAAACGTGTGTGTGTTACCCCTGAGCTCGACTGAGGAGGAAAGAAAGGGAAGTTGTGATTGGTCGGTTTTTCTCCAGCGTCTTTCTTCTTCTCATCTTTTCCTGCTTTAAGACCGAATTTATCTTTATTCCACACACACACACACACACACACACACACACACACACACACACACACACACACACACACACACACACACACACACACACACACACACACACACACACACACACACACACACACACACACAGACCGTCTGTCCGTCTTCTCTCTGAGGCTTCACGTTCAACACCCTGCACACACAGACCGTCCACCTAGGTGGTCAAAATGTTCCATACATCGATTTGTTTTAAATGACACAATCTGTCCCATGGTGTTGTAGTGAAGATCACTGAGACCATAAATATCTCTGAACAATCTTCATCGTGTGCAGGGGGCGTGTCACTCACTGTAACACGGGGAAGGTTGCGGCCGTAACCGGGAAATAAACTGCCTGGCCAAAAAAAAAGAAAATCGCCACCAAAAAAAAGATCACACTCTAATATTCCGGTGGATCGCATTCGTTGTGGCATTGTTTCCATAAGCTTCTGCAATTTCACAAGATTTATTTCCGTCCAGTGTTGCATTCATTTTTCACCAAGATCTTGTATCTGCGCAAAGTCTTCTCCAGGACATCCCAAAGATTCTCAAAGGGGTTAAGGTCTGGACTCTGTGGTGGACAATCCATGTGTGAAAATGATGTCTCAGGCTCCCTGAACCACTCCACCACCATTTGAGCCCCATGAATCCTGGCATTGTCATCTTGGATCAGCCCATTGATGGAATAACCTGTTCATTCAGTATATTCAGGTCGTCAGCTGACCTCATTCTTTGGGTACATATTGTTGCTAAACCTGACCAACTGCAGCAACCCCAGATCACAGCACTGCCCCCACAGGCTTGTACAGTAGGCACTAGGCATGATGGGTGCATCACTTCATCTGCCTCTCTTCTTACCCTGATCACTCTGAACAGGGGAAATCTTCATTCCACTTTTTAATAATGTGTTGGACAGTTCTTAACCCAATTTTAGTAGTTTCTGTAATCTGCTTAGATGTTTTCTCTGCTTGATGTAAGTCAATGATTTGACCCTTCTCAAACAGACTAACATCTTTTCACAGGATGGGTCTTTCAACATAGTAGTTTAAGAAATGGGAAGCTACTCATTGCATCACTTGGGGTTAAATAACTTCTTGCCAGCTGAAAGATAATCGCCCATGCAGTTATTATCCAACGGGAGGCTCTTACCTATTCGCTTATGTAACAGAGTTAGAATAAACCTCTTTTGAATTTCTACAAAATTAATGTGTCTGTCATATTTATGTTACTTTGTTGCCGCCTGGTGGTCTAATAGCAAAAGACCTCAAGGACGCCATGGCTATTGCTCAAGAACATGTCAACAAGGAGCAGAATCGTTAGGCTGAAGTCTAACGCGTGAAAGGAAAGTCCATCACGGTGGGTGACCGAGTCCTTGTCTCCAACAAACGTGACAGAGGAAAGAGAAAGACAGCTGACCGATGGGAATCCACGATATATACTGTCGTGAGTGTGAATGCCTCTACACACACCTACCATGTCAGGAATCCTCTGACTGAACAAGAGAGAGTTGTACATCGCAACCTTTTGATGCTTGACAACTTCTTACCTGTGGATATGGACAGTCACTCTGCTAGCGCTGTTGAGTCTTCCTGCGGGGATGAGACTGATGATGTCACAGATGTGGATTGCTTAATGTCTGTCATTGAAGAGGATGCTGCCGGGAGCAGAACTCAGGAGTGGGTTGAGAATCAGGCAGGTGCAAGTTTGGATATCCGTGAAGAGGATATTTCATATGTTGACGCCCTGAGCGTGGATGGAGATCCAGACCGAGCAGCAGTTCACACCTCCAGTTGCACGTCGACATGAACTCTGGTCTCAGCTCCACACATGCCTCTTCAGCTGGCACTCGAAGTGCTCACCTGTTGTCAGCAGATGCTGTCCCTTTGGATGATCTACACTCTGTGAGATCATCTTCCAATTGCTCTGAAACAAGCACCATACTCAGGGTCAGAACCCGTGTTGGCCGCATTGTGAAGCCAGTTAACCGTCTGTTACATGTCATGTCACACCAAGGAGTTGTTGGTGATGCTAGTCAGTTTATTGACAAGGTTTCTAAGTCAGTGTTCCAAGTATTCCAGTGAGATGTTATTTTGTATGTGGCCTGATTTCTGTGTTTATTTTTGACAATGTTCTATGTCATCATATCGCCATGAGTATGTCTGGGTCCAAGCAGGGGACTTGTTTTGTGTATGGGACTAGGTTTGTGTGGGGTGTAGACGGCATCCTACTTCCAGAAGTTGGTAGAGTGAGTTAGGCGCCACTCTCTCTCCACTTCATCCTTTTGGGGATACTTTGTGTTGGAATGTTTTGTAACCGTGTCCAGTTTTTCTAGTGATATCTCATGGTGACTGTGATGCTTTGCACATCTGTAATTTTGGGTGAAATTCAGTGGGGGTTGGTGTAACAGAGTTAGAATGAACCTCTTTTGAATTTCTACAAAATTAATGTGTCTGTCATATTTATGTTACTTTGTTACTGTTAGAGTTTCGGACATTTATGTGTAGAAATGTTTATTTTATTTTACGAGTTTCAGTTTGTTTACATACCGAGCTAATGCTAGTTAGCTTACCAGTTAGCTGCTTCCTCGTGGCCGTGATGCTCACGTTAACGCTCTCGTGTGCGTGTTTTTGTGTTATACAGATGTGAGTCCTTGCAGTTGCATATCAATGCTGATTTTGTGCTTTTGTATTATACACCAGAATAAAAAAAAGGAAAGAGATCCAGAGTGAGAGCAACTCCGGGCTGTTGTGACGTTCTTCCTGCAGCATAAACATCTGAGGCAGACACACACCCTCCATAGTCCAGCAGAGAAACACAACCACAAACACTTAGTTAAATCCAGGTGGCGACTTTATTTTTGGACAGGCAATGTATTTATATATTTTTTTTTATCCTTTTACTCTTATTCATTTATTCATTTATTCATTTATTTATTTATTATTCCGTTTTGATTTTTTTCCCCAAACCATGTGTACATGTCTGTTTATATACGGTTTTAAAATCAATACAGAGTCTTTTCCATTGAATGTTTTCACCCAAAAAGGGGCGTGGTCGACATCGTCTGGGTAAAGTACCCGGATGCGTCGCTCGCTCTCATCAAATAAAAATGACTTTGATGTGCCGTTCATGTCCGACTCAAAGTTTCACTCAGAAGTGAAAGTGAGAGTAAAGTGTCACTAAACATTAAATATTAAATTTATATATATATATATATATATATATATATATATATATATATATATAAAACTCACCTCGGAAATGTTCAAAGTCTTTTCGAAAACGTCCTCGAGAGGATTTCCGTCCAGCTGCTCCTCAGCGAGCTAACAAGCTAAATCAATACCGTTACAAAACCACCTTTCACCTGTAAGCTAAGGTGAGCTAGTTAACCAGAAACTCCCCGCAGAAACAAACCTGTAATCATGTTCTGCTCTCACCTGTTCCTCAGGTGAGTGGAGGATCATGCTGTAGGTGTGTTCAGTCATGGCTTCCGTCAGTTTAAAGCACTCTCATGTCACACAGGTCAAGCTCACCTGCCGTAAACAAACAGCTGCTTCCGCTTTTCTCTTTCAAAATAAAAGTCCTCCACTGCAGAACTTCAGGACACTTCAAAAACAACTTTTATTTACTCTGCTGCTTTGAATTGAGAGATACAAAATGTAAATCCACATTTTATTATTAAGGTTGTTAAAATGTTCAATTCTGTTCATTAACTTTTTATACTTTTTATTTCATTTTACATTTTAAATAATTTGCGATATTTTGTTGTTGACCTTAAAAAATGTAACGTCCAGGCTGCCTTTAGATTTTAATATACTGAATTTGAGATAAGTTGAAATAAATTTGTCAATTTCGTATAGTTCACTTGAAGTTTTAAGTCAAGTTGTCAACACAGTATTATCTTTTTGTTCAAGGTCAAACAGGGAGGGAGCGTTGATTTATTTGTATTTCCTGCTTCATGTTGATCTTGTGCACCAAACTAAACCTTTCTGTGCCGTACACTTTCCACCAAGTTGTTCATGGTTATAAAATATCTGATCCCTACCGTCCTACTGGTTTGCTACACTTGTGTCGGGGTGCCAAGCGTACTGATCTGACCCTGGAGGGCGGAGCCAGACACACTGCGGTCTGTTGATTGGTTCATCTCTGTGAAGAAGGGACTAAATCTCTGCCCCTGCTACATTTCAATGATATGAAAATAATTCAATTGCAGCACTTTTCATGAACGGGACTCTTTTTTGTTTTTTTACTTTTTTCACTCAGGATTTTGATTTGAGTTATTTTACACTTCCTTTGTGGAAATTGTGCCCCTCACTTTTTACAATACATTGTCTGTTTGGTTTAATTTGGGCATAATGTCAACATGTAGCTCCGCCCCATGGACGACCTCTGACCTCTGCTGGACGACCTCTATTGATGCCCTTTATTTATTTTGACTCGTTTTTCTTCTTCGTTGAATTTAAGTTAGGGTTCGGTCGGCTGTTAAACGCAAGCGAGATCAGAATTCACCAAACGGGCCGCCTGGTGGAAACGGGGGTAAACCGTACCGTACCGTACCGTACCGTACCGTACAGTACCGTATAGTGACTAGAAATCAAACCTTTCAGTTTCTTTTAGTACTCAAACTTAAACGTTTATTCAGAAAGTTTCTGATCAGTTCTCTGATTGGTCGATGATGTAATGATGTCATTAATATGCTCAGTCGGTGTGATCATCCTGCAGTCCCTGTGAGATGTTCTGGATCAGCACCTCTAAAGATCACTTCCTTACTCCCACCTCTCCTCTCTGTAATGACCTTTGACCCCGAGTGGACGAGGCGGGAGCGGATTGAGAACATCAATTTAAGGACGTGTGAGAAGGAAACGACTGAAGACTGTTGTCACCGAGCGGGGGGGTCACACACACACACACACACACACACACACACACATTAACTAATCAGGCGTGTGTGTATTGAAACTGAAAGGCTTCATTCGTCTGTTTGTTGTCTCTGAAATTAAAAACTTCTTCAACCCAAAGGAGGAAACTCAGCTGAATTCTTCTCACCTTCAAATCTCACCTTTAAACTTTAAAAACTTTGTTTATTGTCTTTAACCCTCAGGCATCAGTTTAAGTTACGACCCTCGTAAGTCACTAAGGACTAAAATGTCCTGCTATAAAAATAGAACAGATTGATATTTTTATTCTATTTCTACTTTTTTCTGCATAAAAAAGAATCATGTAATCAAACTGGCATTTAAAGGGTTAAATTCCTAAAAATGATTGAATGTTTGGTAGTTTTGAGCAGGGCTGAAGTTGTTTAAGAGATTTATGCAACAAAAAAATAGAAACAAATATCAATCTGTTCTATTTTTAGATCAGTTTTTTGTAAGTAGACATGTTTGTCCTGAGTGACTTCAGAGGGGAGTAAACATGTTTCAGTGATCTATTGATCTGTTAAAAACATTAAAATGTTCATTCCAAAATGTGACTTTCAAATGTGTTCCATATGTACTAACAGACAAAATGATGAGCAGATGAAGAGGAGACATGGAAAGACAGAAGTGTCCATCATGATCCAGAAATGTCCATCATGATGCATGAGGGTAAAAAACTGAAAAAGAAGTTTCTTAAAAACGTCTGAATGTTCCTGATAAACACTATCAGCCTTTTAAATTTAGTTTATCATCTTTCAAACATCTTCAACTCTCTTTTTAAACTCTACAAACTTTACATTTGTACCTGAAAATACCAAATAAACAAATGTTTGGTTTTCTGAAAGTTGTGTGTAGAGTGTAGAGCAGAACACTTTCTAAAGGTCTCTGAATCTAAACCACTTTGACTCAGTCTCAGACTGGATGGATTTTAAATCAAGACCAGTCAAACCACTGATCGGCTATTTCTCCTCGTCAGTACTGAGATCAGAAGGAAAACGCTAAAAGAACAAATCACTTCAATTCATTTATACTTTGATTTTTATCCCCATGGTTACGGCTGTGAGGGACACGCCCCCTAAACACAAGATGATGATTTTAATGTGACATTTATGGTCTGGGTCTTGTCTGGGCCTCGGAGCACTCTGGTCTGGACTCTGGACTTCTTCTCTCAGGACGGATCCAGAGAAAGAATCACTGAAAGTTCATTTATTTAAGTCGAGCGTTTATCCGCGCTGCGTCCTCTTCAGAGACACTTTGTGACTTCAGTGATTGGTTCTCTTCAGGAGGCGTGTTCAGGAAGCGTCCTGATGACTAAGAGACGCTCTTTAAGAGAATCCTGACGATCAGAAGTTAAAGTGAAGACTCTGGGTGAAGATGAAAGTCCTCGTTAGTCCTGATTGGACAGAGGCGTTGATGACGAGCAGGATGTGAGACTTTCTATCAGGTGATCTGTCAGCGTGTTTATTTAAACGCTGTGATGACGATCAGCTGATCAGTGACCTCATCAGTGACCTCATCAAGTCTTTATTAACGACCCTGATGATGATGATGAGATGCTTCACACATGAGGGGGGGGCGAGGCCAGACCTCTTTCACTGGGGTAGCCCACCTGGGGTGCAGATCAAGCTGATGCTGAAGTGTAACATCCTGCAGTTCCTGGAGTGTCCACTAGAGGCTGGCTGCAGAAGCACAGGAAGTCACATACACACCCATTGTAAAAAGCCTGTTTTTACACATTTCATCTTAAACTCTTTAAGTTCTTTTTCAAAAGAGTTTCCTGTTTGAAGGAGTTCTTCATGAATATTCTTTATGACCGACACGTCTTCATCTTTAACCCTTTGTGTTTACCCGTTCACACTCTGACATCATGTGATCATCATGACACACGTCTTTTAAAATCTGCTTGAAACTCTTTCAAAGGTTTATTTAAAGAGTCTGAACGTTTCCCTCCACTCGTCCTCCGCGCTGTAAAGAATCCCTGAAAAGATTCAAAGTCATTAAAAACTTAAAAACTCTTTAAACACGAAGCGGACTCTTTCAAATCTCTGAATTAATAACTTAAGTTAGAAACTTCAAGAGCCTTAAAATAACTTCAACTGAATGTAGTCAAGACCAGAGTGCTCCGAGACCAAGACAAGACCAAGACCAAGACATTTAGGGATCCAGACAGGTCAAATCTGGAGTCCGCCCAGTCTGAGTCTGAGTCGAGACCTTAAAGTGGTCTTGAGATCTGGATTACATCATCAGCTCATCTTTCCTTCTTTTTGACTTTTTTAACACCTAATGGAAGTTTTTCAGTTTTCAGAATGCTCTGTGTGATGATTCTCTGATTGTTGTTGTTGTTGACTTTCATGTGACGTTTAAGTGCCTCTGAAGCTGCAGGAACTTTCACCTTTGTTGATTTTGAAATGAATAAATCCATCAGTGATGTCGACGGTCGTTCACACTCTGACATCACGTGATCGTTTTAGTTTCACCTAAATAAAGATCAGAGTGATTCTCGCTGCAGACGGCTGATTGACTGGATCAGATGTTTTCATTAAGACGAGCTGTGATTGGTTGCTGACGAGGCTCGTCACTCACTTCCTGATCTCTAACGACTCTTCAGGTTTCAGGGTGATAATAATAAAATCCATTAACGAGCCGTCATGTGACCTGAGACTCCAAAGACTCTCATCAACATGTTCCATCATGAATCCTCCATTCAGGTCTTTAACCTTCAAATCAGAGAGGACTCGTTTAATCTTTTCAATCTTCAGTCCAACATCTTCTTATCCTTTAAGAAGACGACGAGGATAAAAACTAATCTTTAGAATCATTTAGACTTATTGATCCTGCAGTTAAACCCTCCGGCATGGTCCAGATCATACCAGCAGGGGGCGCCACAGGACCACAGGAAACTTTTAATTCTCCTCCACATCTCCCTTCATCTCTGAACTCTTATTTTGACGGGGTTGGATTTCATATTTTATAAATCTGGTGTTTTCATTAAAGTGGACGTCATGCAGAGTCAAACATCCTGGAACACTTAAAGATCCTGAAACCCTTAAACGCCTCTTGTTGTGTGCACGTTACATTTACTTTAGTAGGTTATTGGATACGTGCTTTTACTAATACTTGTTTTTTTTGGTACATTGTTATGTCTGCTCCACGTCTGTCCTGCATGAGATACATGTTTTATATTAACCGCTGCTTGATGTGTATCCTGCATAGTTTATGTATTTTCTCCTGTGGCTGCTTCATTACTGTCATGATATTTCTATTTGTAGTTTTTAGCGATGTTTGAATTTGTTTTTTTTTAGGGAGCCTTTTATAAAATCTGTCCAGAGACAACAGATGAAAATGAGCCTTTTGGCTAACTCTGGAATATTTACTGAAATGTTTATTAATATGAAATGTCCCTGTAAAATAAATAAATAAATCTAAACGCCTCTTATAGGAGCTCTAAAACAACATGTTCAAACATCTCATAATGTCACTCATCCTTTCAAAATAAAACAGTGAACACTTCCTGAGGCCTCAAATCTTTTTGTAATGTCTCTTAAATCTGAAGGTGTGACTTAAATCGTCCATGAAGCCTCGTTAGTGACCTCCACTAAATGTTTGTATTACAGGGTCTGAGTTTGAAGGGTTAATAAACTTAAAGTGTGCAGAGATGATGAGAATAAAGATGTGCACAGATGTTGTGACAGATGTTTGAGATTAAAAAGTGAAACCTGCAGGTTTGTTTTCAGGTTAAAGTCTGAAAAACAAATTCTCCTCAAAACCCCCCAAACTGTTTCATGTGTTACTAAGAAACCCCCTTAATGGACCCTGAAACCTCCCAGAGACCTTCAGGGACGGGACCCCCCCTGCATGAGCTCTTGTTCCGGGAACAGGTTTCGAGTCCCGGCGTGTTCTGACATGCCCTGCTGGTTTCACTGCTGCAGTGTCACTGCGGAGCCACAGGGGGGCGTCTGAGACCTGGTTTTACTCTGCAGACGGATCAGATCATCCCTGCAGGACCTGATCACGGAGTGAGGGGGGGGGGGGGGCACTGGTCAGATCAGAGATCATGTGGTGTGAAACCTGCATGTGCACCAAGCTGCAGCAGAATGACTTCAGACAAGTTAAAATCATAAAAACACATTTCATCTGATTCTGATCTGCGGCTGCGCAGACTTCAGCCGGTAAACAGCCCGGGCCTGTGTCCCGGGATATTTTTAGCCCGGATGGACTGATTCAGAGCCAGCAGGCTGCAGCTGAAGCTTCCAGAACAGAGAGGAGCTGCAGCAGAATCTCTGCAGTCTTCAAATGTTATAAACCCAATAAAGCAGAGTCATCTGAATCTCTCGTGAGTTTCACCTCGTGCATATTTCTCTCTTTTATTTTTAACTCTGCTCGTGCACAACCTGCAGAAGCTGCTCGTGCTCAGACACGGGCTGATCAGCTGCTCGAGCTTCCCTTAAGAGAGTGAACAAGAACCAGACTCCATTTGAAAAATACATACATTTTTATGTGTGTGTGTGTGTGTGTGTGTGTGTGTGTGTGGATGCACTATGGGGGGGGGGGCTCGGTTCTGGTGAATTGTGCAGCTTTCCTTTACAGCACGAGCAGGTTTCCGCGAGCTGGGAAAAGGCGCAGGGTGGAGGATCTGGAAATTCCTCCTCAGAAACACTCCCAGTAAACAAACTGGGAAAGTGTGAGGAGAGAGAGGGGGAGAGAGAGAGGGGGAGAGAGAGAGCGGGGGTTTCTCCGAAACTACCCACGTGGGTCTGCTGTGCGCTCAGCCAATGAGCGCAGAGTACGGGGGATCTATTGACAGCAGCCGGCCAATCAGGAGCAGCGCTGCTGGGCGGGGTTACGCCCCCTGCGCAGAGCGGGTATAACTAGAGGAGAGTTTGGAGTCGGAGCAGCAGAGATCTCTTCACACACTCTCACACACGGACTAACCCTGAATCTCTGTACGGACTCTGAAGGACCCGAGGACCTGATCTGATCTGGATTAACGTTTTCTTTGGACTCTATTCCGGGATTTTAACAGCTGCCTGTCCGCGCTGTGGATATCTTTTCTTATCCTGGATCTTGTGGATTATTTTACTGACTTCAACATGACTCTGGAAGAAGTCGTCGGATCCAACAGCACCGAGAAAAAGTAAGTTGGAGATGCGTAATGACGCACAGTCAGGGTGCCAGTGTGGGTCCCGTTCAGACCTGCAGATCCTGTTTGGATGTTCGTGCTGTGCTGGTTTCGGTCACGTTTCTAACTGTGTGTGTGTGTGTGTGTGTTCCTGCAGGATGGAGACGGTGAGTCAGGCTCTGGAGGAGTTGCTGGTTGCGGCTCAGAAGCAGGACTGCCTCACTGTTGGAGTCTACGAGTCCGCCAAGCTCATGAATGTGTAAGTTAGATTCTCCACATCCTGTGTAGTGTACCTCTTCTGATACCGGACCCTGTTAGTCCTGATGTCCTGATGTTAACCCGGTTCCCCCCCCCCCTGCAGTGACCCGGACAGTGTCGTTCTGTGCGTCCTCGCCACTGATGAGGAGGATGAAGATGACATCGCGCTGCAGATCCACTTCACGCTGCTGCAGGCTTTCTGCTGTGACAATGACATCAACATCCTGCGCGTGTCCGGCGTGAGGCGGCTGGCTCACGTGCTGGAAGAGGACACCGGGGACAGCAACGGCAACGAGCCACGAGACCTGCACTGCATCCTGGTCACTGTAAGTCCACCTTCCCCTCCAGACTGATACAGATGATGTTTTAATGATGCAGACAGAATCAATGTTATCTCTGACGTCAGTGGTTACCTGGAGTCTCACCGTCTCTCCCCCCCTCGTTTGTTCTTGCAGAACCCTCCCCTGCAGCCTCTGCAGAGCGCGGCCCTGCAGAACGTCAGCAGCTTCTGCGAGGAGAGCCGCTGCAGGAACCAGTGGGTCCCGTACCTGGACCTGCAGGACCGCTGAACCGTGTCGAGCCGAACCGAGTGAGACCGCTGCAGAGCGGTGAGAAGGAGTCCAAACAGCCGTCCTCCTGCTGGAGAAGAATAAAGGCGTTTGTGTTGAGAGAGGGACCGGACCGAGCTGAGCCGGACCGAGCTGAGCCGGACCGAGCTGAGCCGGACCGGGTCTGCCTGTTGCCTGATAAAGGGGGGGGTTGAGTTTCCCGGGGGGCGCGTGAGATGCTGGTACCGAACGGGTTCAGAAAGCCGAACCCGGAGTCCCGTTAAAGAGGAGTAGGACTTTGCACGAGGATCCCGGTCCTGGAGCTGCAGAGAGCGCGAGAGTTTAATGAACTGTCGCGTGACTGGCCGGCAGCAGCTGGAGGTCACGAGACTGAACTGAACTGAGGAGTTGCACGTGAAGCTCAGCTGAGCCACAGGTGCTCACACATTATGAACTGGACATGTGACGTCACGTTTGAGTATTTTCTGTTATAAGTGATGTGACGGAGTAGTGACGTAAGAGCTGATGTTTTTTTAATTTAAAGGAGCAGAGTAATATATGAGTGAACACGCCTGTTACAATGTGATCAATAAATTATTGAAGGAGAACTTACTGATTCCTGACTGTTTCATCCAGGTGTGTGTGTAGTGTGTGTGTAGTGTGTGTGCAGTGTGTGTGTGCAGTGTGTGACTCGCCCTCGTTCAGTCACAGCTGAGTCACAAATCGAAACATTTAGTTAGAATTGAGATACTCTTATCATCTCCTCTGGGGCTGTTTCTTTTTTTTAAACTGTTTTTTTGTTCAGTGTGAGGAAACTGGAGGATGTGACATCACAGAGGATGTGACCTCACAGAGGATGTGACCTCACAGTCTGTTGTCTCCTCCGACCCCTTAAAGCCTTTTTTTTAACCACCTCACCTGAGAAACGTCTCTGAGGATCTAACCTGTAAGGAAGAGGAAAACCAGTCTTCACTGTTTCACTGAGTGGGTTCTCAGTACTCGAGATGAACTCAGGGATCAAAGAAGGGTCAACAAGGTTTAAGTCCTTCACCTCGGGTGGGCTGCAGGTAAGACCCCGACACAAAGTGAGGTCTGTGGTTTTAAAAGTCTCGGCACGAGAATCAAGTTTGTGAAGTTGTGAAGTTTTCTTCTCTGACTTCTTCAGTTTAAGAGTTTTCTTCAACTTCAGATTCAGTGACATCATTGGGGATAACATGCAGGTGGGATTCTAACCCAGGGCGTCTACCTGGAGGACTAACACCTCCGTACATGGTGCAGGTTATTTCTCTCTGTATACGGGAACAATACTTTGTAAATAAAGTAAAGATTGTAAAGATTTAAACCAGTGATTTCAAGTTTGTCCATTCATCAGGCGGTGTTTGTACGCCTGCTTGAAATGCATCTCTTGTCCTGATATAATGTGGGACCTCATTCCAGATTTTAATGTACATAAGAAAAAAAAAACAACCTCTGACCTTTGACCTCAGCTGGTACTGGGTTTAATGTCTATCGCTGTCCACCTCCAGTGCTGAAGTGACATTTTTCTAAGTGCAACCCTCCAGGGTGAAGAGCGGGGAGAAGTGAAAAGGAAAGCCGAAGATGAGTCCTAGTAGTCAGAGGGATCTAGAGCTGCGTTCCTGTCACAACGAGAAAGTGCAGAACAGTGATGAGTGTAAGAGGGGAGGTTTCCATGAATCTCATGAGCTCTATTGTACAGTCTGGCTAAAGGTTTCCTTTGCAGTAAGAGAAAAAATCGAGAGACAGAAGGATATTGTTGAAATAATTATTTCATGTCGGTATGTTTCAACTGCCCTGAAAACCTTCAGCAGTGTTCAGAGTCACCATCAGAGTTCTCTCAGTGTTGCTTTGCTTTTTTTTTATGTACATGTAACGCTGGACTTGGTCAACCGTCTGTCCCACACATCAGTAGTTACATCCTGTATCCATCTCACACTCGGAGTTCCACATGGATCATTCCTGGGCCCCCTTACGTTTCTTTTTCATTCTCCATGCGTTCTGTTTAATTTTGCCTTGTTTTGAAGAACCAAAAGCAAACAAGACGACACACAGGTTTGTGTTTGTGGATGTTATAAACTGTTCCCTCCGTTTGCAGGACACTGAAGTCATACGCCCCGGATGTAATCAGCCGACAGCACAGCTGATTAAATCATCACCAATCACAGCTCATTCTCACACCAAGGTGCTTGTCTCACTGATCTCAGCTGCACCAACGCTGCACACCTTCCTCCACCACCTCTCCACTCTACCTCTAGCCTTTGGTCCACCCTTGCGGGGGTTTAGCACTGCACTCCCTGGAAAGCCGTGGCATGCTGCTCGGCTAACCCCGGGAGCATCCTTCGAGCAGAGCCTTCAAAACGCGAAGCAAAACTGTATTTCCATTTGTGCAATAAAATTCTTACATTTATGACGACAGAGTTCCAGTTTTAAGTTTTCCAATTAAAGTATTTATGAACTACCCCGCCTCTCACCCAGTGACAGCTAAAAGCCCCCGTGACCCCAACAGGATAAGCGGTATAGATATTGGATGGATGGATGAATGCAGAGAATCAGAGAGAGAGTCTGTGATCACTGCAGGAGAAAAATAGATGTTACATGAGGAGTGTGTTGGTGGAGATCTTCACACCCACTCGGTTTCCATGGCGCCGTCCACAATATGTGTGTGTGATCAGAGCCGTGATGTAGGCCGTTGGATTTTTATTGTGTGGGAGTCCTGTGAGGAACAGGTCCAGATAAAACGTTCAAAATTGAAATGTAATGCCAGAATTAGCTTAAAGGTCCAGTTAGCTTTCAGAGTTTAAAACACTTCAGTTATATTTAACATTTTAAGGATTATTTTGGGCTTTTTATGCCTTTATTTCAGAGATAGGACAGTGGTCGAGTCAGAAACCGGGTAGAGAGAGAGAGAGAGAGCCACAGGTCGGACCCAAACCCAAGCCGCCCACCTTGAGGACTAAAGCCTCCGTGGGACACGTACATCAACCACTAGGCCACCAGCACCCCGTGTTTAACATTGAAAAACAACACCATACTATTAAAACAGGATCCAAATGGTGTCACTGTGAGAAAGATTACATCAGACTATAAACGGCCTTGATACAGGCAGCCTACGCTTTGTTAGCTTCTGGATCCAGTTAGCTAAGCTGTCCTTTAAGCTAAGTGTTAGCTTAGCCACAGTCCACTATGTCCTTAAATGAAGTGTTAGCTTCTTGATCCTGTCAGCCCAGAGTTAGCTTCAAAAATCCTAGCGGTATCTTTTATGTCCAGTTAGCTTCATGTTAGCTTCATGTTAGCTTAATGTTAGCTTAAGGTTAGCTTAGAGCTAGTGATGTTAGTGCATGTGAAAGTACAGACTGTGTGTGATGGGGGGGGGTGTTAGTGCATGTGAAAGTACAGACTGTGTGTGATGGAGGGGGGGGGGGGGGTGTTAGTGCATGTGAAAGTACAGACTGTGTGTGATGGGGGGGGGGGGTGTTAGTGCATGTGAAAGTACAGACTGTGTGTGATGGAGGGGGGGGGGGTGTTAGTGCATGTGAAAGTACAGACTGTGTGTGATGGAGGGGGGGGGGGGGTGTTAGTGCATGTGAAAGTACAGACTGTGTGTGATGGAGGGGGGGGGGGTGTTAGTGCATGTGAAAGTACAGACTGTGTGTGATGGAGGGGGGGGGGGTGTTAGTGCATGTGAAAGTACAGACTGTGTGTGATGGAGGGGGGGGGGGTGTTAGTGCATGTGAAAGTACAGACTGTGTGTGATGGAGGGGGGGGGGGGTGTTAGTGCATGTGAAGTACAGACTGTGTGTGATGGAGGGGGGGGGGGGTGTTAGTGCATGTGAAAGTACAGACTGTGTGTGATGGAGGGGGGGGGGGGTGTTAGTGCATGTGAAAGTACAGACTGTGTGTGATGGAGGGGGGGGGGGTGTTAGTGCATGTGAAAGTACAGACTGTGTGTGATGGAGGGGGGGGGGGGGTGTTAGTGCATGTGAAAGTACAGACTGTGTGTGATGGAGGGGGGGGGGGGTGTTAGTGCATGTGAAAGTACAGACTGTGTGTGATGGGGGGGGGGGGGGGTGTTAGTGCATGTGAAAGTACAGACTGTGTGTGATGGGGGGGGGGTGTTAGTGCATGTGAAAGTACAGACTGTGTGGGGGGGGGGGGGTGTTAGTGCATGTGAAAGTACAGACTGTGTGGGGGGGGGGGTGTTAGTGCATGTGAAAGTACAGACTGTGTGGGGGGGGGGGGTGTTAGTGCATGTGAACACAGTACAGTGTTGACACAGCTAATCTTGGAACTACTAGATAAAAATGAGTCACATCTACTGACTCACGTTTGCCCTTTTACAGACAACATCTGAAGAAACGTTCAGTGACACAGCTAAAGGACGACCGCACAGAGCTCGCCCGGGATGTTCTGTGCGGGTCACAGACGAGATGCAGTTAAAGTCTTTCTGTGATTCTTCTCACTTAAATGTAGAAATCAAGTATCTCCTCTGAAAATAACTCTGTGAGTCATGACTGTCTACAATGGGTGTAACACCCGAGTCCCACTGTCTGTGATGTTTTCAGAGTTTTCAGAGTCCTATCTTCACTTTGTTTACATCGCCAGGACGGCCGGCTGACTCCTCCCCTCGTGTATAAAAGTTGTTTAATAGAGGGACTAGAGAAAAGAAGAATAACATACTGTACTCACTGCTTAACTGTGTTTCTAGATCACGCTCATTTCAGGTAAATTTACATGCAGTGTGAAGATACCAGCAGAATAAAGATCGCTAGCATTAGCATGCTAACACAACAATGCAGCGTGAGTTGTTTTGGTTTCATGCTGGAGCTCAAGGGCGACATCTGCTGGATCAAAACATCACATATAAAACAGAAACGGCCTTCAGCTGTTGATGTGCTCAGAGTGAGAGGTGTCTGCAGGTCGGATCAGGTCCTCCGAGCTCAGCACGTTTCTCTCCTTTTGTCAGAGGAGAAAAGCAGAAAGTGTTTGGTGCAACTGAAAAGACAGGTGAAACTAGTGTGTGTGTGTGTGTGTGTGTGTGTGTGTGTGTGTGTGTGTGTGTGAGGGTGTGGTGGCAGAGAAACTGAATCTGTTCTCACGGCACTCCTGGAGACTTGGAGGGTTTCAGGACAGGCGTCCTCTGAAGTCGTCCTGAGTGGATCTCAGGAGGTGATACTTTGACACTCTGACACTTTACACTGTTTACATTATTCTATATTTTGTATATCCAAATATTTCTTTTTAAATGTTTCATTATATTCTATTTTACTGTTTTTATGTGTTTTAGTGATTTGAGTGTTTATTGCATGGCCTTCAGAATAGTCTTTACATTTCACTGCACATCTGTATGAGCATGTGACCTGATGACATCACCATCACATCAAAACAAAGACAGGAAGCGTTTATTATTCTGCTTTTACATCCACAACATATCATCAAATATATCAACACTTACATCAGACTACAGAAGAACCTGAGAGGGCTTCAGAGACCCCCCCTCCCTCCCCGCCCCCATTTTGGATGGTCACTCCGCTGCTGAATATCAATACCTGTTACAACACCGCAGCAACACAAGTGAAAGTCGGCCTGTAAT